CAAACAGTAGCTAAAACCAAGACCAAAACATAGCTAAAATTAGAGCTAAAAGCCAAAATTGTGAAAACAGTAGCTAAAAGCTAAGACTAGAAAATCAGGATCTAGCTTGTTTAAGCTCCGATATCCACGTGCAGGAGACAACGCTGGTCTGTTTGTTAGCAAAACATGTAAAGCACCACTGGCCAGATGTTCCGGAAACAGCTTTAGGAGTCAGGCTGATTCAAGATGGCCGCCACAGCCAAGTGGCCCTTCCAGACACAACTGCGGCTGCGCATCAGGTCATTGTAGGGCCGCTGGCCGGAGACTCGGGGTGGTAGTAGTGGAGAGTCATCTCCAGCGCGCACTCTGAGCGCTGACACCTCGCGGGCGACATGCATCCTGCGCGCTGACGCACGCGGAGAGACGAGCACGGAGCACAAAAAGCCAAAGCGGCAGAGGTTCTGGAGGTCCGGAGCGGACCCACTCACCCTGGACGAAGCTTTCCTCTTGTACTTGTTGGAGAAGTCGAACTTCTCCTTGAGCTGGTCCAGGAGCTGCTCCAGGCGGAACCGCTCCTCCTCGCCCGTGTAATCCTGACCCAGGAGGATGTACGCCCTCCAGTTGGCCGAGTCGAACCCCCAGTGGCAAGTCCGGTTCTCCTGCGCCTTGTGGCCGTGCACCACGAACTTGTGCGTGGGGTACATGAGTCTGCAGTCCGCGCACTGGATGCACGCGGCGCTCGGGCTCGTGTACAGCTCGGGCACGAACAAGCCCTTGCACTTGCCGAAGCACTCGTGGTAGACCCTGAAGCTGCGCTCGGTCCGCTGCAGGTCCAGGGACCCGGGGTTCGGGTCCTTCTTGCAGCGGGGCGGGAAGGCGCCGCCGTGGATCAGGGCGTTGCAGAGCCGCTCCGAGTCCGTCTTGGTGATGAGGCCGCAGGACGGCGCGGAGAAGGGCAGGATCCCCATGACTTTGAGGATCTCCAGCTGGTCCGCCGTGCAGCGCGAGCAGTACACGTGCAGCTCGTCGCACACAGAGTTGATCTGCTGCAGGCTGAAGTCCCGCAGCACCGAGTTCAGGATCTGCGGGAGGCACAGCCGCTTCTCCCCGCCGACCACGAAGCAGGAGATGGTCTCCCCCTCCAGGACCGTCTCGCACCTCTCCGTGGAGCGGTCGGACGGGATGAAGAGCGGGCCGGGCATGACGGGCGGCGGCAGGTGCTGCAGGACGGGCTCCAGCTCCTTACCGTCCTTCTTGAAGAGGAGCTCGTGCTGCCAGCGCGCGGAGAAGGCCGCCGGCCCGCCCAGGGAGCTCATGGAGCTGATGTGGAACTGCTTGAGGGTCTGCTGCAGTCCCGGGTGAGGCTGGAAGCGACTTATAGCCTCCATGGTTCCGGTCCAACTTTGGAAATCCTGCGTCTCACTGAGCGAATCTCAGCGCGGAGAATCCACGGCGTCCCAGGAGTGACAAAAAGTGCGAAACGCGTCATCAAACATCCATTTAATTCAAAATTTAACAGTCCCGGACCGGAGTTCCGTCGCTCTTCCGATTCTTTAGTTCTTTGATCACTTCGGACGCCGACCGGCAGGACTGTCCATTTCCGAACCGAGCCGGGTCTGCCCGAACTCCAGAGCGGCAAAAAGTTCCGAGCGACACGAAAACCAGAGCAAAACACGGCGCTGGGTCCAGTAAAAAGTCCTGGTTTCAGGTACGCGGCGGTCCGGTCCGTCTCTCTCCGCGGCTCGCTGGGACTGAGGCGGCCGCTGGCGCGCGCTCCCTCCTCCCTCTCTCCGCCTCGCGCTGCCTCTCTCTGACGCCCCTCCCCCCGCAGTGTTTGTCTGGCTCCGTCAGCCAGGAATGTGAGTGACTCTGCAGGCCGGCTCTTCCAGGAACGAGCCGTCACCCCCCACCACCGCACACATACAACGCGCATGCGCACACACAACCAGGGAGACGAAAATGCTGCGTTCAGAAGCAGCAGGATTTTTTAACTTTTAGTTTACAGTATGTACAGCATTGCCAACTATTTACCGGTTGTTTTAATATTTTATTTTAAATGTATATTCCATTATACTTACTTTTTTGTATATGTGTTTTATTTAGTATATTTTTAATGCTGTAGTTTACTAAAATTGTCTGATTTTAGACTAACGTTTAATGATGAATCTGAAGCTTTTGAGTATTTTATTTGCTTATCTTCATTTTGTCTTGCATCTATGAGTCGGGAGATTCTCTTTTTTTAATTTGGTTGTATTTTGTTATGAATTTTATATTCAAGTTAAATAAAAACATAAAATATAAAAGTCAAGCCAGTTTGTCCTTTTTAAACAATGATTTATTCAAGTTTCTTTGATTTCCTGCTTTCTTTGGTTTTTGATTTTGCCACATTTTATATTTTTATCGACCAGAAGAAACCAATAATTGTCATATGAAAATTATTATTAACACACATTTTATTAAAAGCAATTAGGTTTTTTTTTACATTTTTGTTATATTTTATCACATTTGTTTAATTACTTGTTGAATGTAGAGCTGAGTACATTGAACCCGTTTGATTTGAGGTTATTAATGAAAATGAGGAAATAGAAAATGTATGATCATTTTTATATTTAATGTTTTCTCTTTTACTTATTTTGCCTTTAGTACAGCTTGGAGGCAGGTGGTATTGTTTTTGTTTTTATTTTGATGTTTTTTATAGCTTTTATATAGTTTTGTTAATGTTAAGCTCGACATAATAAAAATGCACCAACTGAAAATATGTTTTACTTTTTTATTCAAGCACTGAGTATTTGTTTGTCTCTCTAATATTACAGTATTTAGTTTGCTGTATTTATTTTAAGCAGTTTTATTTTGTTATATTTTGTCAATATATAATAGTTTCTGACCATATGTGCTCATTTGTTGTCTGTTAGCAAAATATCATGAGCCGCTGGACAGTTTTTTCCCTGAAAGTAGCTAAAGTGGTTTGTGTGTGTAACTGTCAGGTTTACAGATCTGAGGGTTAGGTTGTTGTGGTAGTAGCTGAGAGTCATCCTCAAAGTGGACACCTGAAGCAGTTGGAGCTGAAGCATCTTTAAAGTGCATTCCCACTTTTTAAAATCTGTGCGCAGCTTTGATTTACATGGCAGAGCTGCAGGAATCCAGATTGTTGAAGTTGCCAGCTTTCCCAGGGTTCCTGAATGCATCAGAACATAATCCTTTGGCTTTAGTTTGTGAAGGAGAAGAAGAAGAGCAAGAAGAGGAAGATGTTTAGATTTTAACAAAACTTTATTTACACAATAAGTTAACACAACAGTGTTAAACAAGGTGATCAGGACAAGCTTAAAAGGAGGAGGAGGAGGAGGAGGAGGAGGAGGAGGAGGAGGAAAAGATGAAGGATGGGGAGGAGGAGAAGATGGGTGGTGTTTTATGAGACATATTTCTCATTAAGAGGAAACAACTCGTTTCATCAGTTCTTCTCTGAACGTTCTGAAACTTTGATTGATTGATTGATTGATTTCACCATCAAAAACATTGAATCTGTTGATTTCACCCATCAGAAACATTGAATCTGTTGATTTCACCATCAGAAACATTGAATCTGTTGATTTCATCATCAGAAACTTTGAATCTGTTGATTTCACCATCAGAAACTTTGAATTTGTTGATTTCAACATCAGAAAC